CGAGTTCATAGCCCTAATTGTTTGATTGTCTTGCCCTAGCTCTCAATCGACGTTTGGATTTGCGTAAAGGGGAACAGCGCTGCGTATATATGGCGTGAATATAAGAGTGTAGAGTGAAAGTATGTACGATAGTAGCCCTCACTTAACAATGCTCGAACGGGAAAAATTACAAAGGACCATCTGTAGAATGGTAACCAAACAATAATAGAGACTAAACACTTAATAAGTTGTAAATGAGAACTAAATATAGAAATCCTCTAGTTATAAAGGACTATTTAAAGAATTTATTTTTTTAAAAATTGGCAAACATGATCATGTCGTTTTTATTAATAAAAAGAAACCCTAAAAGTCTAAGTCAAATTACAATGCGCATGCGATACCCTCGATTTTGTAGAAAAAACTTATTAGTCCTACATAATTTGAAATATCTGTTTGGACTGCATAAAATATACTTTAATGTACTTCGATTGTGCCTTCCGTCTATTTGACCGTTAGCATTGACAGTTCTGTAACTCTAACCAATCAACCACAAAAAAATATACCCTCTTCGTCTCTTAGTATTTGTCTAGTATTCTAATTTGGGTCATCCATTAGTATTTGTCTACTTTCTTGTTTTGGTAGTAAAAATTTAATGAATATCCATGTTTACCCTTCTAGTTTAAGTACTCTCCACACCATTTACTATCCCTCCTACAAAAGTGAACATGCCCCACCAATGTATTCCGCTGACGAATTGTCTCATCATTCCAGAAACACTGTCTAAAATATCATCCGCCTCCCAATTTATCTTCATCGCCGTGCATCGATGACGATGTTATCTCGCCGGTCCAGCCCATTGGACCGTAACATGCTTCGAACCGGCCCAAACCGGTAAGAACCGGCCGGTCGGACCGGTCCGCCCCAGTTTTTTTTTGCTGATTTTTTCCAAAATATGCCTCCATGGGGGGGGGGGTTTGAACCCAAGACCTCTTAGACATTTGGTTGAGCTTCTAACCATCTAAGCAATGGTGCTTTTTGTTACAAGTTCACATAATCTTTAATAATATTTTATAATTCAAAAAAAGATTGTATATAAATTCCTTTTCAATTTTATAAATATAATATTATATAGCTACGAGTCAAACACAAAATCATTGATATTATTAATACTATTACAAAATGCAAATCATGCAAAGATTTCATTTTTTTTATATTAAACAACTTATTTGAAAAAAATAAAATCAACTCTTCATTTAAAATTCTTTTATATTTTTTTAATATGTAAATTTTATTTTTTAATTTTAAAAAATAACTCAAGTATATTAATATAATATTATTTAAATGTTATAAATTATTTTCTTTAGATATTTATAAATGAGAATGTGTGTGTGTCTATATGTATGTATGTATGTGTGTGGACATATATATACATATACATACACACACATATATAGTTATTTATTTATATTTTTATAATTTTTAAATATGTTCAAACCACCAGTTCGACCAATTGAACCACTGGTTCGACCAGTAAACCAGTACTTTGACCGGTTCGGTCACCGGTTCATTTCTGAAAAATATGAGTTGTAGACAAACGGCTAGGAAGCCAAATCATGGGATTGTATAAAGGGAGAAATACGAAAATAGCACTTTAATAGCCTTATAATACTCAAAATAACAGTGCTATTAGTTTTTGGGATGAATTCACGTTTTTGTCCTTCAATAAACTCCCAAAATTAGAATTATACTGCAATGTATAATCTTCACTGCCACATTATAAATAAGTATGAAATGTTCTGCTCTTCACTGCCACAATATGTTTGAGATTGAATTTAGTGCCCTAACACATACAACACTGCCAAAAAAAGAGCAGAATTCATTTTAAGTCGTGACCTTTTATTTTTTATGGTAATTATACACTGCAATATATACTCTCTACACTGCCACAATATGTACTTCCAAAAATTCAATGTCTGAAATACATTGCCACAATATATACACTGCCACAATTTATCTACACTGCCACAAAACACAATAATTAAAACTAAAAATACAGCGAAATCCGAATAAAAGGATGCAAGACAAAATTTTAACATTTAATCTTCACACTGCCCACAACACCATAACACCTAATGTTCACACTGCCAAAATCACAATGCCTTTCAAAAGACCTGATTTTTCAAAAGGGACAAATCAGGTTCTCTCCCATGCTAATCTTTGATGTTGCTAATCATTTTCTCTTCTTCTTCAATTTTTAATTTTCATTCCTTCATCCGATCCTTTTATTCAGATTTCCCTGTATTTTTAGTATTAATTATTGTGTTTTCTTCGTATTGAA